TTTCATTTCCAAGAAATTTCAAACTCTAATTCATCACCCTTTAGCCCTCTCCACCTGTTTCCTCATCTGTATCCAACACCCAGTTATGCTTGCCCTCTATGTCTGACGTGCTATATGTGAGGATCTTTGTTCTTCTCTCTCTGCCATGTTCCTCTGTAAACACCCCTGGATGAATAGCATGAGACAACTGAAAATATTACATTCATTGTCTGAGTCCAAGATTAGAAGAACTGAGGTTCTAAATTCAAAATGTTGTAACAGTAAAGCTGGGTAAATAATTTATAGCATGGAATTAATTTAATTATTTTTGCTTAATTTTCTATTTACAAAATGGTGAATTTGGTATTCAGAAGTACTTACCAAATAATCTTGGCAAATTATTATTGCCATGGGTTTTAAAAACAAGCAATTTAAAAATTTATCTATTTTCATGTATATTTAGGTCACATGATAAATTTCTGTAGCCTAGTTACATGAGTATATCTTAAAGGCAGGCTGTGGTTACAAATATTGGTGACTGCATATCTAAAATTTACTGCCTGACATAACTTCTAAAATCATAGTTGCTGTGGTGGTGATCATTCCTAGCAATAAACTTAGCTTCCAGAACAACATCTGAAACAAATGGAAAAGATATAAACACACAAGCTATTTTCATTTTAAAATGCAAATGTTTTTTCCAAAAGAATTGTCATTCTATTTTAAGCCTGATTCTCTAAGGAAAAGAAAAAGGGTTCACTGCTGGTTCATTGTCTTTCTGTAATGCTCAAGTGAGTAATTTTCACTTAACCTCACAGTAATTTTTTTAGACTTCTGGTTAAAAAAAATAAATACTAAGGATTTAGGGAGGAGAAACTGAAGGCACATACAGCTCCAAAACAGCCATAGTGCACACTGCCTTGTTCATGGGTGAGCAATGTTGGGAAGAGGGGATGTGTGGGAAGGCTCAGGGGACATGGGGAATAGGGAGATAAGGAAAACCCAGGATTAAAGGATCTGAGAATGAACTGGCTATATTAAGGCAGTAACAGTGTAGAAAGGGGGTTAGAAGTGTAAGTCATTAATAGAAAACCAGGTTTTATTCATACCTTTGCTCATAGAATTACACTGGAGTCTTGACTTTTTGGAGTGCTCATTCCTTTTTTTGAATGCATAAATCTTATCTTTCCTATCTCAGCAGCCATGATCTTATTTCACTGGTTGGGACAGTATTTTCATACAGTAACATATTTCTATCTAAACTAGCACACAGCTAGGTGAAAGGCAGAAAGCCATGGTCTAAATGATACAATATTCATGACCTGTACATAAATAAATATTCCTTCTTAGTGTTCTCACAGGACTCAATCAACCTTCCTTCCAGTCACGTCATAGAGTTTTGCATACTGTATATTATACTATTCCCATGAAACCATAGTTTTCAACAAAAAATGTCCTGAATGCCTCAAAACAGCTAAAATTAACCACCTAGGAAAAGAGTAGCTACATCCACATGAAGCGTGTGAACACAGCACATGAAGCAGAGTCACTAGGTATCACTCCTGACTGGGTCAGAAGTTCCTCAAGTCCTGTTGTTAGAGCTCAGTCATTATTCAGTGCAGCAACATCAGACTAATACAAACTGTGATTAAACTTCCCATCTTTTTTTGACTGTATCACCATAACAATTTTCAAATAAGGGCTGGTACCTTCCATTGTAGTCCTCTCCAACACAGCCTTTGGCTTCTGAGCATTAATAACACAAACTCTAAGTCCAGGAGCACAAAACTTATTTACAGTGTGATCTTTTACTTTGGTATACTGTCCTACCAACACTTACCTATACCATTTTCAGTTCTCTCTGTGGTATGGATTGTAACTTTTCAGCCACAATTATTGTTTAGGTGGGTAATAATTATTTTTCAATTCTTTTCAAAGTGCATTAGAGGCTAAAAATGAAAGGACCAACACTCTTGTGAGACCTTTTCTCTACAGCCTATCAACAAATACTATTTGAATCAGTTTGAAAACTTGATTTAGTTTGCACACCTTAGACAGAAAACAAGGTAAATATATAATTGCACAGCTATTGTTATTTTCTTTGGTGCATTTGGATATATAAAAAGAAATTTTCTCTGTTTTTCCTATTACAAAATTAAAGGCATTCCATATACCAAATACATTCTCTGTAGATTTCACAGGATAATTACACACATAATACCTTCACTGCATTTTTTAAACTCTACCTCCTCTCTTTTTACTCCCAAATGCATACTGGACACCAGATCCACTTCAGAGAAGTGAAGATGATGAGCTCTGAACAGGATCAACATATGCAACATCTCCTTTTCTGCAGAGTAGTAAAGGAATGTGACATCCCTGTGCCATGTCCCATTCATTATATTTAGTATGCATGGACATCTGCTGTCCTCTTCCTGTTTTTCAGTGGAAGTTTACATTTCATTAAATAATTTTTATAGTAAATACTTTGCTCTTTATGGAAAATTTTTCTTCTTTCAGGAGAAAGATAAGTGCCAAAATCCTAAACCATTCAATTTTCAGCTGAAACTCAGTGCCTCACAGGAGCTTGGGCTAGGACCATCACTGTACTTCTTCACACTTAGAATGCTGTGGCTAATGGGTCACCTTAATGAAACCAGGCTGGGATAGTGGAGATGTACATTTATATAGGAAAATGGGAACACGAGGCCTCTATTCCCATGGTAGCACAATGATGACACTTTCGCATTTAAGCATTTGATTTTCAATTGGTATAGTTCAGATTTGGGTTTTTTCACACAAAACAAAAATATTGCCTTAATATTTTTATAGGGAAGGTCTGCGATCTAGGAGGAAAGCTACTGGGATATTTTTCTGTCTGAGTTTCAATTAGATTTTGCTAACTTAGGACTTGAGCTATTACCTTATAGATGTCAAGGTATCCACACTGATGGTCAAACCGCGTGTAGAGCTCGTTCAGCATGCTGATGACCTGCATGGGTGTGCACTGTGCACAGATGGCAGTGAAGCCAACAATATCCGAGAAGAGCATGGTGACATCATCAAACTTCCTAGCCTGAACCTGCTGCCCCTGCCACAACTGCTGAGCCACTTCTTCAGGGAAAATAGAAATAAGGAGATCTACTGTCTTCTTTTTCTCCTCTTCCAGGGCTTGGTGTGTACATTCTAGTGTTGCCTTCAGCTTATCCATTCGTTTTTTCAAGCCATCCTGTGCCTTTGCTTGCTCTCCAACCAATATGACATCACGTGTAGCATCATGGATGGGTATGTCTGAAAGATGGAGGCCTCGGCCCATCAGTTCATCCAGCTTGTCCACACAGGGGGAACCCAGGAACAAAATTGAATTTGATTCTGGCACATGAATCATTTGTCCTTTAATTTCCATGACCTGAAAAGTAAAAAAAAAAATACTTCAGCAAAGAAAAGATTATCTGAGAGATGTGGATCCTCATTCTACTTTCCCCATCTTTCCTTGTCAGCTAAAATGATAAACTGTAGCCATTTATACAGAAGCTTCTTACACTCACCTATTCAAGTAATGAGACTCACACTGTCTACTCACCAAATTGAGTGAGAAAATAGCCTATACTGACACAAAAATATTCCCAAAATCAGATGTTGGATTTTATTTGAACCCAATTAAATAAGAAAGCAACCACAAAAAAATGTAGTCTCAGAGTGCTGTCTAAATAATGCTTCTGGAATCTACCTGACCTTAAAAGCAAATTCCAGAGTGGCTCCTTCTCTGTTACTTAGCTAAAAAATCATAAAAAGCACAAAAGTAAAGGGAAATTGCAACTATCTGAAAGCAGGTTAGTGAAATGGTGAAGTAGCTTCTGTTCTTTTTCAGAAAAATATCTACTAAAAGTCAAATATGACCATGTTATAGAGGAATCAAATGAAAACAGATGTAAGAAACAACTCTGTAAAATAACAAATAGCACAGGAAAAGTGTACCAGTGCTCCTATTTCCTATTTCCCTTGTCATACATGCAGCAGAGTTGAAGGCTGACATTCTGTTAGAACCTGCAGATTTCTTGGTGATACAGATTCATTCAATTTGTATTTGCAGAATAGTAAAAGGAACAGTAGGAAATGAACAGCAGGTGGTTCATCACACTGGTTTATAAGCTTTGCATTTGCCTGTTAAATGGCTAGACATTTGGTGTACTGTCCAGAGGCTGACACCAATGAGGCCATGGATTGTTATCTCTTGCTCCATGATAGCAGTCAAACACAAAACTACCAGACTGAACTGGACATTGAAAAATAAATCAAATCAAACAAACTCTATCCCTTTGTAAATACAGCCTGTCATAGCCTCTGCCATGAAACACAATCATCATGAATGCTTTCATTCCAGGACTGCACAAAGACCAGGGCAATACTGTGCTAGGTGATCTAAAAAACCCACAGTCCTTACCTCAAGGGTCTCATAGTCAAAACAGGCACAACACACAAACCTTGTGTGCCTAAGTACAGTATTAGGCATTGTACTTTTCTATTCCACACAATCCCTTGAAATATAAAGGTCTGCTCCAGTCACCATTCCTCTCATCATATAGGCATTTGCTACTGTCACATGATTCACTTTATCATTTAATCCTCCTTCCATCCATAATCCTACCAAGCTAGATAGGAAAACTTCAATCAGGGAATCCAGAGGTGTCTGTAATAATGATGTGATTTAAGTGTCCAGAGGCCTGGAAGCTCCTGCTGAGCCGACAGATAACCCTGCATGGTACTTTCCATGTTTGGGGAAGATTTTAGGAAGCTTCTATTAGGTTTTGGGTTTTTTTACATCAGATAATATGCTGTCATTGCAGATTCTACCATTGACATGGGAACTGAGCCTATCCTATCCCCATGCCCCTCTGCCTCCTCTGGTAGAAATCCAACAGATCTAACTTCTGATGTCAGCCTGGGAACTCAGCAAGTGAAAGTAAATGCAAATAACTAAAATTACCAATTTTTAAAATTTATGTTCCCGCACACCTACTAATATTTACATTTCTAAGCCTTATTTCCTCAGCTTCATTCTAGGACATTAATCTCTGTGAGAAAGCTAGTCACATACCTAGATGGGCAAATTTAACGCTCCAAGGCTAACTTCTTTTTCTACTTTTGAAACATATGGTTCCCTGCTCAAAACATAAGGGAAAAATAAGGTGCTTTCTTCATGCATGCAGTCTCATGCTTTCAAAAGGGCACATGCAAAATTGTTTTAACTCTGAAGGACAAATTGCCAAATGCAAAATACATGGTATAGCATTTCTAAATTCTCTTATTTTGTTCCCCTTTGCCAGGGAGTTTTCTGTTTGCAGAACTTCACTCTTGTGCAAAATAAATGTATCTCATATTATCATGTCACTCTTCCACCTCTAGGTGAAAACAGGGTGTCAGCTCAGGAGGAGAGAGTGTGACCACAGATCCTGGCTGAGCCAGCTTGGCCTGGGTGTGGGCTGCTTGTCAGCAAGACAGGGCACCTGGCTTGGAATCCTGTTTCTCCTGTTAACCTGCTGTGAGACTAGAAGAAAATGAAGCACCCTGTGCACTCCTGCTTTGCCTTTGTCAATTTGAGGTGTTAAACTCTTCGATGTGGTCTCTGTCTGTGTTAATATATTGTGCCAAACTTACCTGAGTGGATTTTTCTCAGGAAACACTGAGTAAGCAACTAATGTACTAAACAGGCACTCTGGAGTCTTCTACTCTGTTCTGGATAACCCCAGGCAAATTATCAGTCCTGAGCGCTTATTTGGCCTTTTAGTACAGCAAGAACAATGCTACTGACTACTCTATAACACACTTTGAGACTTATGTGTGAGAAGCAGTAGAAGACAGACAATACTATAAAATGCCTCACTAAAAATTACCCTTTCTGCCCAAGTGATCTGTGCCCCTGCTTCAACAAAGTTGAAAGTTTCTAGAGCATTTTTAGGAAGTTTTGCAAAGACATTCTCCCTATGCAACTGATCAACTTCCTGAAACTGTCAAAGGTTCAGTGCTACTCCAGTTTATCCTCTGAATATTATTATCATTTGCTCTGCTTAACAGGAATTGTTGATGTTTCCTATCACTCCTTTCATGTTACATTAGTGATTCTGATGTCCTGTTCTCTCAATGACTGATGGGTTGTTTTAGAAAATGGCCTGCCAGTCTCGTCAAGTTGCCAAATCAGGAAATAGGACAGCAGACACAAAGCTACCCCAAACACTCATGTCTTATGAAGCATAGCAGTAGAGAAGAGCTAAGACGGTATCACCCTACTCAGTTTTTGCAAAACCCTTTCGTTTCCAGAGAAGTTTCTGAGATGATTCAGTCTCTTTCTATCAGACTATAGTCTGCAACCGTGATCCAGCATAACCTCCATCTCTCTTCTTTGGCTTCTCTTGCCTCACTAGTCTTCTTTATATCTTAAAGTGTAACTGATGATACAGGACATCAGGTTTGCCTGAAGCTTGCCATAGTAACATTTTGAAATGAGCAATTACAAGTCATATTTTACAGGATTATGTTGCTGCGAAATAATGGTGCAGCCTAAGAAGCTCTGGGATTAAAAAAACCGAAACCTATCATTGCATTTTACTTTCACAGCAAACCCACTGCAAAGAAAGAGGAGCAAACAGTTCCTGAGAATGAGGAATTCTTTCAGCCTCTCTCTCCGAAGACCCTCCCAGGAAACACAGACAGACTCTAGAGCTGCTGTGTGAGAACATGAGAGTCTCCTACTGAGCAGTGCATCAACAGCTAACTACTTCATTAGGCACATAAATCCAACCCTCTGCCTATCCTCTGCATATCTGGATGCAAGCCACCCTAGGATCAAAAGCTTATGAATCAAATGCCAACTCCACTGCCTAGTCTTTAAGGAAAAGCACAGGGAAAAGCCTCAGTTGTTGCACTGAGGGAGGATACTTCTTAGAACAAAGATGTGTGTTATGGAATAGTGACTGAGAGATGATGTACAAATCTCCTGGAAAATATTAGGGGTAATATGAGACAGTATCTTTGAGAAATAATTGGGAGTTTAAAGCATAATTTTCTTTCTCATTAGGGTAGACCATGTTTTCTATGGCCTTTGCAATACACAAATTATAATGGAGTTTCTACTTTGACTTTGATTAGTGCATAATCCCTCCTAAATTGTGATTATAGTCTTCTTTTTTTAGTTTTATTTATTGGGAGTAGGTTAAGAAACTTACAGTGCTAGGCCACACTTTCAAAAACTGTTACACATGTATGCTTGACTTCATACAATGAACAAATTCAGTAAGAATAGACAAAGCTGCTTCCTTAACAGGCCCATACTAATTCAGAGGATGGAAAGATTGGGAAAAATCAGTGTATGACAAATCAACCTGGACACCATCATCACTTCAAGGTACAAAGTGTACAAGGTGACTTTTAGAAAGGTGATCCAGCTGCTAGCCTAAATTTTAGAACAAGTGGATTCACTTCCCTGAATGTCCTATAGGATACAAGGCAGTATATCAGGAACATTTACAGCAAGGTATTTCAAAATATTTGAGTAGTTTGGGGCTGGACAAGGTAACAGTACACTTCGTGAAAGAAATGACTCTGCTTGTCAGTTTACAACTCTTTATACAGGCATCAACAGAAACAGGTGCTTCTAGAATAAAACTCACATGATCTACATGAGACATCTAAGTCAGTGTCAAATGAATCATGTCCCATGTGTAGATATACCTACATTTCTCTGTTGTAAAGGGAGCACAAGGCTTGGATATAGATGCCTATACTGGTCAGTTAAGTCTATCTCCCATGAGAATAAACTACATAACAGTGAAGGTATTTCTGTGTGTTTAAAGGCACCTAAATGCCATTCTGTAAGAACATTATGGGAAGTGTAAGTTCTCTATTGGTCTAACAGATTTCTATGCTAAATGCTCCAAACCTCAATTCAATTAAACAAAAACTTGCTACACCCACAAAGTTAAGGCTGCTCTGTGGTTGGCTGACCATCTACACAGGTATAACATGACTGTGACTTTAAACAGAGAAAAAGGAACAATCATTACAACCTCTCTGATACTACAGCTCTAATTGTAGAGTGGGGTAAGCCAGAGTCACAGCCAGCAAAATTAGCTGTGGAGAAAAATTCATGAAAATAAGAAAATTCATATTCTAATGAAACCCTGATACGCTATCTTATCTCTAGACAAAAATAATGAACTGCCAACTTCCCTTACATTTGCGTTTATTGAAAAAAGCCAAGAGAAATACATATCATCTCCACAGAAATGAAAAATGATTTTTTCAATCGATTCCTGATGCAAATGAATAAACTAGACAATGTTTGCTTAGCACAACTCAGGATGCGCTTGGGTTCTTGTGAAAGTATAACTCTCAGCATTTGCTTACAAGTTT